TGATATTTTCACTTAAACTCTATATTTTTTCATATTTCTAATATTAGTTAATAATTTACCTATTTATTTTAATATTAATAATATTTTAATAAAGAATTTTGTTTTCTAATGTGCGTACATATATTTTATAATGGGCATATTTCATAAAATAAACATATAAAATAAGTATTGTGTTTCTCATAAATGTGTATGTTGGATGCATGTTCATGTATTAAGTTATGAGCATTATGTAATAATTATGAAATGTACATATATACTCTGGGTATACTTTATAATGTGTATGTTTTATGTTAAAAAATTAATGTGGGAAATGAGTATTTTCTTAATTGTAAGTATGCGTACATCTGATGTATGCAAACATGGTACATCAAGATTAACTATTTACGGACTCAAAAATCTTCAGGGCACCGGGAATAGGAATTCATAGTAATTGACTTTTAATTTTATTATTCAGGGTAGGTAAGAGAATTAAAAAAAACTGTTAGAAAGTTGTTAGAACGGCTTCCGCTTGTTACTTTGTATAAATTGCGCGTCTCTCTACTGCAATACACATAATTTGATCTATCTGACTCTATATCACTCTAAATACTAGGAATTGCACTAGAAAACCATTGTAAAATATCTTAAAGCTCACCTGACAGAGCTGACCCTTTGAGACGAGGCGTTGTATGTTACTGGAGATGGATTTATGGGCTCGTTTGAGAGCTTCGAAGTCGGCATCGTATAGGTATACGTCAACGCCGTGCACGGCAGCGAGTTGGGCGATTCCGGCGCCCATTTGGCCTGCGCCCACAACTCCGATGCTGCTGATCCCAGCCATAGTCTAGAAATGAGTTTTACCAAATGAGTTTTACCGCTACTTATCCAAATTTCAGCATCAATAGATATATATAGGAGTGAAGTCTTTATCCCTTACTAGTATTTTGACCTGTGCCATGCACGGGGTCGAGAGAAATTTATGTCGATTCTGAATTTATTTTAATGAAATTTATTTTTCAGAATAAAGTAAATATATTGCTCACATGATTTTTAATACTATAAATGAAAAAAGCCAAAGTAAAATAAATAATATTTGAGGAACATAATGTAGAGTTAACAATGTTTATTTTAATACCAAATTTTCTGAAAGATTTCAGGGTATACAACATTTTTGGTATGATTGCAAGGGTTTCTATTGTCATCTAGAACTAATACTTTTATTCCGGTCTTTGTCTTCACTCATGAAACAACAAAATATAGTTGACCATGTGTGAACACTGACTTGGTTAAAAATAATCCCACAAATGACAATGTTTGACTTTGATTTTTGTTGATTGTTATAACAAAACATGAGGCGATCGAGAATTATCTTCTTTGGAACTTCAAGGGTAGCCCTAGATCAGATGGTACCAAATTCATTCTAGGGATGTAAACTTTTTCCCCGACTCGATTTCCCGAAACTACAATTGCACCGATAGCATTATTTCGCAGCTCTTGAACGATTAATCTTGTCCCATTACACAATTCAGATGTTTGATCAATGTTCCTCAATAGCATAATCGGTACCCCTTTTTTCAAGACTATTTTGTGGTTTGGGATTCCCAAACATTTGATTTCGTTCAAAAACTCAACTGTTATCCAATCGCCATCAACACCTACATCTGCTTTTGCTGGGCACGAAGAATCAGAACTCAAGTACTCCTTTTCATCACCAGGAATGAGGGACAGAACAAATTCATTTATCATTTCAACTACTTCGAGAGTTGGTGCCAATAGTGCTTTATCCTCATAAAAGAATAATTTTTCATATTTTCAAACATAAGTCATTTCCCAATATAAGACTTAAACTTTTTCAAATTTTTCATTTTTCATTTTTCAAATTTTCCATTTTTCATTTTTCATTTTTTAAATTTTTCATTTTTCATTTTTCAAACTTTTTCCCAATATAATTTTTCAAATTTTTTATTTTTCATATCTGCACTAAATAACACTAAAACAAAAGTCATTTCCCAAAATAAGACTTAAAGTTTTTATTCCTTAAATAACACTTAATAATGTCTAGAAGGAGAAATAATATCCTGTGACGGTGAACATTTGTCTAAATAATGACTAATGGATGATGACTAAAAGTGCTACATTGGGAAATAAAAAACATATGTTGCTATTTAGGGAAAGTCATTATGTTTTAGTGTTATTTAGGTAAATTCCTCTGACTATGAATATATATATGGAATATCAATTATTTCAGTTGAACACAGCTTAGTTGTCATTTTGATAAATGAATTACGTGTTAGATATAAGTAAATTTTCCAATTTAAAAATTATATTTGAACTTTGAATTATTTACAGTGATCCTTCCGTATCAATGCCTAATTTTTTTTCCTCGCATGCATATCACTTTGTTTTAAAATATGTACTCACATTTTTTTATATTCACCCATTTCATATCAAATTTATTGCAAAGTTTTGAATTTTATTTAAAAGATTTTAAATACGGATATGTTTTTACTCAACTTTGTTAATATTCGTCCATTCAATTGTTTAAAATATTCAATATGTATAAACTATTTTTTCATAAAAAATATAGAAAGATGAAATTAAAGAGTCATGGTTAGACATCATTTTATTTCTATTGATGTAAATATAAAATTGATAAAAAATAATCAGTGAGCTATATGCATACCTAGATAAATCAACAATTATACATTTTAATTATCCATGATTTCTATGCAACCTATGAACGACGTTTAATTTTTTTAGGAATGCAGATTATAATTGATCAAATAACATGACTATAAAATAACATGACTAAACATATATTTTTATCTTTTCTTGGAGTGTTCATTTTCACATGGAGAATTTGTTAAATCCTTCTAAAATTGACATCTAATATTAAATTTTGTATAAAACTTTTTTTATTTAACATAAATTAATTTATCTATACTAACGATTTATATATGAAGATAAGAAAATTTTTCAATGCTCATTAAAATGCAACCATATAAATTTTAAATACAAAAATTCTGGTCACTAACATATCCCATTTCATTTTGTTATTTTAAATAATTCAAAAATGTTATGCATCAAATTACCTTAAAACAATAAAACATAATTAAATGTATTAAGATAAAAAAATATTTAAAGTGCGTACCTTTTCTATCTTTTTTTGTTGAAGTATTCATTTTCTCATTTCTCTTGCATCTCTAGCTGATCTCGTCCATGTATCGTCAACTTGATTTTTCATAGCCCTAATTGAAATTGAAAAATAGGATGCTCCTACCACCAATCCTTTTAAAAACAAAAGGCTGAAGTTGAATTAACATTCTCTGCTTATTTATTGCATAATTAATTCTGAATGCCTATATATTGAAATGGAAAATGAAAATGGGTGATGGATGTCACATTTCAACTCATTATATATCTCTTTTTATAGAGTAAATTCTATAATTGGTCTTTTATAACAGGGGGGTTTCCCTAATTAGTCCTCTATTATCAAATATTATCCAAGTGATCCTTCTTTTATGAGTATCTTTCCACAAATAGTCCTTTTTTTGGTCTTCTGTCATGTTGGTGTTAATTTGAGAGCTAAAAGTGTAATTTCACAATGATAATATATCTTTTTTGTCATACACAATTTCAAAGGCTGTTCCGTTTGCGTCGTTTGTGAATTACAGTCGCTTTCTACTACAACCATAGTCTACAAATGTGGTCTTTCGTCAGAACCCTAGCCCACAACCATAGTCATTATTTTTGTGTTATCCGCTTAACCAATATTAGAACACGTCACTAAACATAATGTTGATGTCAAATTATACTTTTAGCCAGGCCCGCCCATATGCAAGTTCATGAGGTTCTTTTGCACAGGGCCTAAAATTTGGAGGGCCCATTTTTATACTTACCCATTAATTACAGCCCAATCCGGCCCTTATTCATTTACTCCATATTGTCCTCGACCGTCCATATTCTATCCAAGAAGCCATGAACAGTAATTTACTTACTACGTACGGAGTATTTGATTTAATTTTTTTCATTGCCAGCTCAGCTCTTCAGTTGGACTCTTGGACTATTATTCTTTCTTTAATTCTTGCCTTCTCCCATTCTCCCTCTTTTATTATACTTCCTCCCTACTTCATTACTTTGTTCCTTTGCCTTTAATCTATCAATTCATAGATAACTTTTTTTTATAAGTTTATGATCATTAATTCTATTTTGGATTTCTCTTTCAAAACTTTTCAATTTCATATTTTAATGCCCAAAACAGAATTCAAATAGTGTGTGGGAAGAAAGTTTTAGAATTAAGGATATGATTTTAATTTAAAAATTTTTGGACCAAAATTATTTAATTGCACAGGGCCTTCCAATATGATTGGGCGGGCCTGGTGACGGGATAATTGGTTTTGGTTGACCTTTTTCTCTTGCGAATCCTTTTTCTAGAAGTGTGCTTTGTGGATGCGACTATTTTTCCACAATCTAGTTTGGTGGTGTTTGGATGTGTACTTCAGGGAGCTGACCACTCCTTTCGGGCTACACTTAATGTACGGAAATCTACAATGTGTTCAAGATCAGTTATTGGCAGGTGATGGCTTGTCGGGAGACTTTGTCGTGGTTGAAAAGTAGAGGGGTTCGTGCGGGCTTTCTTTGTATGGATTACCTTCAGGTTTCTACAACCATTAGGCAGCGCGAGTTACACACTGAAGAATTTATGGAAAAGGGCTGAAAAAGGTTGGAATTTATGAGAATGCCCTCCTAGATCTAACAGAGATTCGCGTGAGGCGCGTCCTCTCTACTTGCGTAAAATGAGGGGAAATGACAGAAAGGCCCTTCCAACCAAGAAACAAAACGTCACTGTTTATTCCTGTTACTTCAAAAATTAAACGGAAATATTAAAATTAACGACGAGCCGTTAGGTTGCCTTCGAAGCGTCAAGATGATTTTTAGAAAGGTCAAACGGCGTCGTTTGAAGCGCCAACCCCTCCTTAATCCCCTGACCAGGCTTCGGAAACGATACGCCTTCATCAATCGAAACTCTTCTGCTCTTCGTTCTACATTGCTTACCGTCGTCGGATACCTTCAAGGACTACCACGCATCTCTTTGCCATGGAGAACACCGGAGCAAGTAGCGGGTTCCAGTACAAGAGAAGAAGAATTCTAACCCAAACACAAAGGGAGGAGATGGAGAATGAAAACCAGGTATTTTCAAATAATTCTTACTTAAAATTAACCAATTTTTGTTTACCTGTTGAAATATTTGGGATTGGTGTCAGATTTCTGCTGAGGTAACTCCATCTGTGGATGGTCAATCGTTCCTGGATGCTGCGGAAATTGAGGTGCATTGCATGTACACTAAAATATAACATTTAAAGTATTTTGTTTGTTTTTTGAAACATTCGGAAACAGAACAAGTTATTCGACCATGGAAATAATCAATATAATGTTACAGTAATTGGTTACAGTCGAATGCAGTCGAATCTATTTTTTGATTAGTTCTTGATTTTAATTCTAGGTTCCAGCGTTGGCTTGCACCATTGATATTGATAAAATACCTGGAATGAAGTTAACCCTGAAATCTTCTTTGGGGGAGTTCCAGAATCTGATGGAAGAAGGACTTGGAGATCATCCAGAAGTTCTTGATTTGTTTAGGACTTCCACCCCTTTTTCTAATTTTTTGGATGTTGAGTGTATTCCTCCTCCTCTGTTCCTATGGCAACTCATTGCGAGGGAAGCCAAAATAAAGAGGAAAGGAGAGATGTGGTTCGTTTTCAAAGGAGTTCCTGTCAAGTACTCCTTGAGGGAGTTTTCACTCATTAGCGGCCTCAACTGCTCTCACCTTAACGCCGGCATTGAAAATTCTAAGGAATTAACCTCTGCAAAGAATGATTTCATTCGTGCTCACTTTCCTTCAGCAAAGAAGGGAAAGAAATCTGCTGCAGTCACATACAAGATGGTTGTGCAGCGTTTCTTGGAAATTTGTAAAGGACTGGACATGGAAAAGAAGAAAGAAGGCCAGGAGATGGTTGCTATGAAAATGGCAGCACTTTTGTTTGTTGTTGTTGTTCTCTTGGGTCTTGCTGATCGAGACAAGTCTGCAATTCCAGATTGGATTCTGGGCATGATTGCACAGTGGACAGCAGTTCTTGGTTTCCCATGGGGAACCTGGGCATTTATGGAGTCCTTGGGGTCACTGAGGAAAGACCTAGCTGCTAAGGCCAAATCAATTGGAAGAGGGGCCTCATCAACCATGTACTATACTAGTTTCTTGCTTCCCATTGGGGTAAGGATTTTTTCAATTATAATATTTCTTATAATTTTTATTGAAATGTTATCTTATTGAAATTTTCCATATGAAAAGATCCTTTTTCTGGAGAGTTGCTTGGGGACTGGAGCAAATATTACAACAAGAAGCCCACAGACATCCCCAGCTAGGCCAAGAATCTGCCTTTGGGGTGAGATTCCAATAAAGAAGAAAATCACCCACACAGAAATGGATGCTTACGTTGGGGACGTGCAGGTATATACATATTATTGGTCAATAAAAGATTAAAATTTAATGAATTCCAAAAATAAAGTGTCATTATTTTGGTTGCAGTCTCTAAAGAGCATTCTTGTTCCCGACAAGTTTGAGGCAACTGCAGAGTGGTATTTGAACTTCCAGCCTCTAGAGACCACAAAACACCCCGAGTTGGATGCATTTGTGGACAAATTAGAGTGTAGAGGGGAAGTCCACATTCCGGTGGAGAGGAAGAGAAAAGCTCGGAATGTCCCTTCACCAACAAGAGATAATTCTGAAGAGCGTAATGAGCACATCTCCTCTCCCCAAGAATCTCAGAGGAGTCAGAGCCTTAGGGAATCTCCTTCTAGAGTCTCCCATTCCAACATCCCAAATCCATCGTCTCCTAACCCTCACCAGGCCAAGCCTTCATCCAATACCTTTCAAGAACTCTTTGATCGAATGTCAAAGAAAATTGATAACATTGCAGAAGAACAAAGAAAGAGGTTTGAAGTGCTTGAAAAAAAAGTTGATGCTTTGTCAACTTTAATAAATCAAAAGATTGTGAATAAGGTATGATGAAAGCTTTTGAAAGTCATCCAATAATTTTAATTGATCA